TTGCGCTTTGGAATAAACTAATATGCCTCTGCTTTCACAAGTGACTTGTTAATTGAATGTGGGGGGAGTTCGCTATCTGCAGGTTGTGTTGAGCCCTTAGCGAGGCTAGCTGCGCCTTTCCGTATGCACTGCGCTGAGTGCTGGGTACTCTCCGTGCACAGAACACCATCTGCATTTTGCTGTTAACGCGCCTTCACATCCAAGGGAGGATTAGGAGAAAATCCCCTGGTTTTTTTCAACCAGTTGACAAATATCAGATTTGTCTCTAAAAAATTAGCTCCATCTATATCTCCCACCATATGACACACAAAAAAGATTATCTTTAATACCCAGCCAGCTTGGGTGTGGAAAAAGCAGATTAAAGTTTCAGTTTGGTCATATTTACCCAGGCACTTCAAGCACGAGACTGTCTGCATTACACAGTAGACAGACCTCTTCACAAAGATTCCTCCCCCCACATGTACACCCACACCCACCCCCAAGCCTTTACCTTCCAGAAACAAGATGTCTGCCTTGAAACAATTAGACATCATACTTAAATAATTCATCATTTCCCAGTCAGTCTTTCTCTTCTACGTGTCCTTTAAACAGACAGAGTGAGCTGCCAAAGAGGCTAAAGTGAATAACAGCAGCAGGTGCCTTTTCAGATGGAGCTTTGTAGTCTGCAGAGGGTGCTGAGCTGTTATTTTAGTGGCCCACTGGTGAGGAGCGGGGGGTGGCTGGGAAATAGACCTGGTGGCTGACCTGAGACCCCAGAGCTGTCCTATTAGCAGTGTGCTCTCCACTAAATGTTACCAGCAATAGTTGGTAGAGCTTGGATACAACAAGACAATATTCACCCATGGGCACCTGCAAAGTTTAAGAAGCCAAAAACATTGCTTGAATCCCAAATTTGATGGTGTAAGATACGTACTTACCAAAAATAAACTCCTGTGACCCTGAAGGAGGTCATTTGTGTCTGCAGTGCCAGATTGTAAGACTGGACATGCATGATTATTACCCATCAGCATTCATCAGAGGGATTTAAACATATGAGTAAGATGCTCCTTAAGCCTCTGCTAAGTCAGTATGTTCTTCCTGACCATTTCATTATCAAATGCATAATCGTCATCTGCCGAGGACAGAACTGAAGGCCTAGGGCCCTACCTGTTGTCCTGGATGTTGACTTCCTTGCTTCCGCTCAAGACCACTGCCCCACCCAGAGGTTGCTTTATGAACACAGGAGCCCCATAAATGAAATTAAGGTGTCAATTAGTCAATTACAGCATAATAACTCTGAGGGCAGACATTTAGAGACAGAGAGAACCTCAGCTAAGTTCATTTCCTCCGGCCCAGGAGCCTAGCGCTTGGCACACGTCACTCCCCACCCAGACTCGCTGAATAAAGGCCCCAGTGCTCTCCCTAATGTTATTTTCCCCTGGATATCTTTTTTGATCAACAATTTCCTTTCATGGGTTTGTTTTTCAGAAGCAGGGTATGCACTTTTTCTCTCCCCAATTTGGCCAGGGAGAATTTTATAATTTAGTAATTAAAATCTTTGTTAGGCTTTAGAAATTGCAGCTAATTGAATTTAATGGGAAGATGAATTTCAATTTTATTTGATTAGCAGGACCCCTGGCATAGGTATTTATGGAAAAAACTCTACAAAAATATGCTGTGTGGGCTAAGATGGCATAATAGAATTACAGATAATCGGATTTCACTGTCATGAATTTCACTCTAATTTCACTCTAATTTTCCATTAGATAGCTGGTTTACAAATATTTGCTCATCTGCGATGGGAAAGGCTATCTGTCTAAAATGATTACGGAGCAAGCCTTCAGAAATATGTCCCTTTTTTCCCCTCCCTTTTAAAAACCAGATTGCGAGGGATCAAAATTAGGAAGATTGCATTATGGATGTCTGCATCCGGGAGAGCAATGGGGGAGATATGATGATTACGGCCGGGGGATGAAAGCAGTGTCAAGAAAAATGTATGACTCAAAAACATAGGCCCATTCTATCTACAAAATCTCTGCTCTCAGCACACTGCCGCCAAGCAACATGATATATCATAATTCATGTAATATCATAAACAGTGCACAAATATAAGAAACACATTGCAGCATGTTGACATACAAATATACCTTATACCTCAAACAAACTCCATGTTAATTTCTTTCTATAATGAGATTTTGCCATGATTTTCATAGTGTTTGTATGTAGCTGTATATACAGCTATACAGCAATTATGAAAATCAAATGAGATTCTGAAGAATCATTGTCATGAGTAATGCAAATGATGATCATCAAGAAGTGGTGTATTGCCGCCATCATTGTTCTGGCTGCATTTGTGTGTAAGTTTAATATTCAGCTCCTTCTCTGCTTAAAAATAAATATATAATGCAATATAAACAGACGTGAGAGGGAATAATATCCCACATCGCAGACAACCTCGAATAACACTAAGGTGAACTCTTGTTGAATCCCACTTTAAAAGCCCCTGCTTCAGAATTAAGCTTTTACACGTTCAATTTCCTGCCAATTTGACAACAACATGACAGTGAATATCAAGAATAAACTTGATCCATTGTCTGCTGAAAAACACAAACTATTTTAATTTGTTGTGTTTAAAGTTAGACGCAGCAGAAGCGCTTCATGCCACTCCTCCTGTGTAAACCCCCCCACCTGTACACTCCACAAGTTAGGACAGACCTCCACCCCACACCAACTCGCACCCTTTGCCTCTCACTCACTCTTTGCCCCGAACTGCCAGAGACAGCAAGAGGGGTTCAAAAACACAATCTGACTCTCGGCAAAGGTCAGATTTCTCACTCGGCATGTCTCTGGGCTTTGGGCACAAAAGCCACTGAATTCACATCTATCAACTGGGCCCTAGCTTTTGTCCTGGGGAATGGAGGACTCGGAGTGGGCCCTTCACCAGACCAGCCCCTCCTGGAGTGCACTGTCAGGGGCAGCCAAACGTCTGGCCCGGCGGCCCTTTGACTGATGTACCCCTGCCATGTCACACGCACGGCAGCGCGCACACACACGCTCACACGCATACACACTCCACCTTGCCCTCAACATTCTCCCGCATGCACTATACAATACCCTTAGACCACATCAAACGAAAAGCCCCACAGCTCCTTTTGAAAAGTAATGGTTTCGCCCCCAAAGATGGCAGCTCGAGGGCCAGAGGGCTGTAATGCATGGGCGATAAACCCTCCCTCCTGTGGACATGAATAGAATTCACCCTGCAAACCGAAACGTACCCAATATCAAGTTTAGAAATACTGTAGAAGTTTTTCTTTTCCTTTTTACTGATATGCTGTACCGTGGAACAAAGCATCACTAACAGCAAGACAGGTGTTTTCATATCTTATTTTTAACCCCAATCATTTAAAACAGCAATAGAGTTTTTTTTTAACATAAAATTCTAATAATATCACATGCTCTATGTCTTATCACAGTGCAGTTGGTATTAAGCTGCTCACAAGAGCTTAACACTTTTAAGATTTAATATGCTCCAGCACCAGTGATCTGAGTACACCTTAGTCTTTTAGCTTTATTGACAATATTTCATACCTTTTGGACAACATTACAGTAAATAACAGAGCTTTATTAACATGTTTTCACTGTGTTCAGGGAGTATTTACCACAAAGTTTGTTCAGTAATGATCCACATGGGCGTCAGGCCTTACCAGGTTTCACTAATCCACCAACAAAATATGTTTGTACAATATGTGATTGATAAAGAAAATAAATGACATCTGACAAAAGATTTTATCCAACACCTTTGAAACAGAAAAAAGGTTTGGTTGCCAAGTCAGGCCACGTAAAACAATTAGATTTTTTATCATGGCTAACAAAAACTGAAGTAGTATTTACAGTACAATGTTAGATCAAGGGTGGAACCTTTTGATAGAAACTCTTTTAAGGACATTTTCCTTTATGTGGGTTAGGAAGGAGGAGACAATGCTTGTTTTCCCATTATTAACCAGGATGAGTCATCATAATTTCAAAATCAACCAAAACCTGTTTTATGTACATACTTTGGACTATGCTGACAGGTCTCAGGAACTGAAGCCAGGATAATGTGTCATGGCATTATGGTTCACAGCCATAAAGCTGTTCATTTCCTCTTTTCTATAACCAGTAAATGTTAGTTATACACAACCTTCATTCAAAATAAAACTGCTGTAGAAAACAGGAATATCCAGTGACCTTTTTGTCATTTTGTGACACCTTGTAAATTCCACATTCTTGACATGGAGCCATGTTTACAGTATGGGCATTATGTACAAATGGTCCAGAGGCACTTTGCATGCCACTGCGGAAGAAACTGCCAGGCAAATAAGGGGTTTGTCTTATAAAGTATTCATTGTCACCTGGTAACGGCTGTCGTTTATCATTTCACCTGAAATTACAATGAAAACTGATAGCTTATCACAGGGAGGGAAGGAGAAAGAGTGTGCTCTGAGGGAGAGAGGCAAAGAAGGTATACAACACGGCACTGAAATAGAGAGGATCTCTGTTTTGTGAGAGAAGTGAAAGAGTTATTTGCTTCAAGCAGTGGAAGTGTTGGAGTAATATATTTGTCCTTCTTCTGGCAAGAGACATAAGAGGACAAGCAGATTGAAATTGACCCTTTAATGTGTGACATTCAATGATACAAAATTGTAAAAAATGTCCTTTCACTTATTGTATTTGTACCTTTATATAAAACAAAAATGAAATATTGCTCTTTAAAACAAAGCTTTTACAGGTAGTCACATTGTATTTGATTTAGAAATAATTAGTCTAAAAGCCTCAAATACTTCTGCGCAGCAAAAGTATAATATATTTTAATAAACGTGTAATCTCTTCCTCCCCAAAACCTTTTTTTTAAAGTGTTGAGCTCCCCTCATTTGAATAGAAGCAGTGGAGGCTCCACCCCAAGAGAGTTGAAAGGCTAGAAGACCACAAAGATGGAAAAGGCCAGCCCACTGAGGGAGGGAGAAAAAACTGCTCCGGTTCCTCTGCCATAATTTCCTATCAGCCTATTCAGACAACATCACCAACAGCTTGGTCTGTGCGTGTGTGTGTGTATGGAGGCAAAGCAGAGAGTGAGAGAGAGAGGCAGCGCACGAGAGCCAGAGAGAGAGCGACACAGAGAGCGACACAGAGAGTGAGAGAGAGAGCATTGAAGGGGGAGGCTCCATATTCTTTCACCTACCCCCCGTCAAACCACAGGAAGGAGGGGCCAGACCCTAAGCTGCCAATCAAATCCGCTCGTGGCAGCCGGCATTATCTCAGCAACAAACTATTGACAGATTACATGTCAAGGAGTTTAGTGCATGATTGAAGGAAGCCTTTTTTTATCTAGTTACTTTTCCGCTTTATTTCCCCTTCCACCAACCAACATTCGAATGACTTTCTAACAGAGTTGAGTAATATTATGAAAGTTACATGTCTGAGAGGATTTAACTTCGACTTCCCTGAATATGGTGAGTACTCTTCTTCTTTTCTGTCTTTGCCAGATATGTTTTATTAGCTGACAGTTTAAGGTGTGCCTTTATCTCTGACTAAATATACTGAGGGGGGGAAGTTGTTCATGATTAAACTATGTGCCAACGAGTACGTATACCCAAGTGTTGCGACACCCTTATTTATAGCTCTTTGACAGTGCCCAAAGGTGACTGCAATATCAAATATGATTGCCCATTTCCCCAGCTCACGACTCATGACGTTGTGCTACATGCTGTACACATGTGAAGAAAGTTCACAAAGCCAGTTTCATTTTCTCTTGTCAGAGTCTATTTCTCATGAGACCAGGAGAACTCACTGTTAGGCTTGTTTTTTTTCTCATCCGTGTTTTCCTGCTTGTTTAGTTCTTTCATTTAATTATATGTTTTTGAATAAGGCAGCGTTTGGTACTGTAGAAATACAGGTATTGGTTTTACCCACAGAGGCACTGGCAGTGCCATTAGGGTACATTGAATGGCCTAAGGGTTTGTTGCCAAGGGGACAAAGCAAACAAACTGTTGTGTTGCTTATGTTGTCACACATGAAAAGCGAACAGCAGCAATGCTTGCACCTTTCCAGGTACTTCTAATTAGTATATATTATACAGTACATTGGTTTATGTTACATTAAAATGTAAACACTCTAAGAAATAAAATGCATTGCATGTTAGGTAAATTTGCAGGTGGGGGGGAGAGAAACAACAATATTTATTTAAAATATTTAATAAGATTGTTTCATTGATCAGCATTTTTGTGCAAATGCACCTGTGGGGCGGATTATATAAAACTGTGTCAGATCTGTAACTTTCAGTTTAACAACAGTCATTCTGTGCGTACTTTTGAGAGGGTAAACTTGTCTTGTTGTAACTGGATTAGACCTTATACTTATCAGCCTCACTCTCCTCACCAGTTTACTTGAAACGACGGTTTTGTGTGTGTTTTAAAAATAAGTCCCATTTCACGTTCACATTTAGTTCTTTCTGTTTTGCGTGTACTGTATGTACGTGTGTGTTCTCTGTTTGCGTGCAGTGAGTGGTGTCTTACATACGTGTGTGTATTAATAGTCCTTCTGTATGTCATCATTTGTACCATACATAAATATTACTACTCAATAACTAAACTATAACTTTCTAAAGACTTTGATAAATCTTATCTGCCCTATTTTTGAAATGTTTTATTTTAAACTCATACTGTATATAAATATTTAGTAAAGACTGTGGGGATATTTTTGAGTAGGCTGTTCTAAAATGGTTTCAGACTGTTTTAAATTACAGACAGAATGCTAAGAAAAATATTTATACACAAAATTATTTTTTGGTCTTTTTACATTTTTTAGAAAAAAAATAAATCTGTAATTCAAACTTCATTCAAGCAGGTTTTGCTCCAGGCTGTTATGTTTAATACGTTTATTTGCCAGTTATGGGCTCTCTCTGTTAGTCTCTCTGTCCTCTTAACAATTATTTGTTTCTTCTTGCTGTCTAATCTTGCCGTTCAGCAGGCTTGACACTATATAGCTCTTGTGCCCTTTAACTTGCATATGGCAGTATTATTGAGAAATAAAACACACAGTCTCACTGTGATGATTCTAATTAAATAAAACTCTAAGAGACTGTACAGTAGACCACTGTGACCACAGGGTTTCACAGACACATGTAAGAGACATACATGAGGGCTCGGCTTATTATGTCTCGTTCTGTCTGGTCCTGCATTATAGTTTAAAATAATAACAAACAAGTACAACTGTTATCGTGACACACCCTAATTTCAAACTTTTCGTCAGCTCGGAAAATGTTTTTCTACCCTCTTATGAGTCATAATGTTGATTGCCTTCTCCCTGACTGAGTTGTCTCATTAACCCTTTGTGGCCCTCTCCATCTTTTACGGCCTTCCACAAAACCAGGATGAAATGAGGGAGAAAAACAAGCCCAGTTCTGAAGGCCCTCAATAACCTTTTATCACAATTTAGCAATAACCTGAATCAATTTGATGTCTTAAGCAATAAAATATGCTGTTGCACTCCTATTTCTGCTGCTCCTTGGATGACAGTAAATTTACATTTTTTAATTAAACTAGCCGGAATTTTTATTAGGGGGCTGGGCTATGCTAATGGGAATGTTGTGTACAGCAGATTAACAGAGTTTTGAAATAAATTTAACAGGGACACATTTGGAGGAAAAAAATGCGAGTCATTGTCTTTAACCTCTTTCATGCCGATTTCTCCTGGGGGATTCTTGTATTCTAAGGAGCCTTGTCAGGGAAGAGTGCTTCTCAGCAACGAGGTGATTAGTATCGCCTTGTCAACCGAGGAAAAACACTCACATTCTCAAGATTTAGTTTTTAAATACCCTTTTCAAATGATACCAATATGTATGATTTTTGTTATCACTTATATATTCAACTGAATATGCTGACACAATTAACATCACTCTTTGAGGTAGTTAAAAATAAGCATTTATGTTTTCCTTTGTTCTTTTTTTAATGTCAAAAATAGGAAATTGTGTTCAACATTTTTATTTACATTTAAAAACATCCCCTCACCAAAGGATTCTTCCTTTTAATTTTCCTGTCAAAATTAATTTGTTTTCTATCTTTAAATTTAGTTGTCTGATTTTACACCTAAATCCGAACAGAACTATTAAATAAGTGTCAAATACGGTAGTTAATGGCAGCGTATATGTTTGTGTAGTTTTATGGTCCGCTCTCAGTGTTTGATTGATGTTACGCGAGGCTGTGTGTGTTATGCCTGGTTTTAGCAGAGTGGCAGGGGGAGAGAAAGGGGGAACATAGACAGCAGACAAGGGGAGGGAGGTGTGTGTATGCGTGCGTGCGTGCATGTGTGTGTGCGTGTGTGTGTATGTGTGTGTGCGTGTGTGTGTGTGTGTGTGTATTTGTATGTGTATGTGTTCAGGGGGTAGACAGAAAGAGAGGGACAGCTGAGTCCTGATTGAGCATGTGCCCAGTCATCAGACACAAGCCACCCAGCACCATAATTACCTTAACCCCCGTCTTTTAATACCCAAATCACACCAACTGGCCTTTTTTTTTTTTTTTTTTTACCGGTAGAAAGAGGAAACATTAGAGATCAAACGTTCAGATAAACTCCAGATGCACGTGGGCTGCCATGCATCTTGCCGCACTAGCCAAAGTGTTCAGGGCTACTTGATATGGGCCAGGAGCAAGGCAAGTGGCATCACCACCCCCTTTCTTCAATCCTGTGCACTCATGCAGTGGCCAGCACCTAATTAAAACCTCAAAGCTCCCCGTCACCAATCTGGAGTAATGGCCTAATTAATACTCGGTGAAGAAATATTCCAGAATGATAAACAGGTTGCACCTTGGGTCTTCATTGCCTTTATTATCTAAAATATAACAGGCCAAGTTTTTTTATTATCACAGATAATGCATGTTTGTTAAACTGCTCTACTAAAAATGGGGAATGTGGAAACGGTGAAATATCCTTTTTAATTATACTATCTTAAAAAGGATGGAAATGAATTATAAATTGTATCATTAATTAGAAAAAAAAGTTTTTATCATGTATTGTTTTCTGGGCAAAAACATGTCTTGTCTCAGTGTAACGAGCCGAAAAGAAATCCTGCTTTTAATCTCACAGCTGAATATGCCGTGTCATGTATTCTTGTGTGTCAAAGAGAGAAGCTTCTGGTAACTTTTTTTTTTTTTTTTCAACTTGATTTCCTAATCTTACATATGAAATTATAATTTCATGCAAAGTAAGGGAGAAGAATAATCTCTAGTCGTTGATATGCTATATAAGAGGGGAAAAGGGGAAAATGAAGAGGTAATTAGCAGAGTGGAAGACTTTGGCGCGTTTGTCTGAAAGCATGGTCTCCACTGGCCATGAATGAATTTGCATGCTTCGCTTATCGAAGCACACTTATTAGGCCAGCTGAAAGAGAGATTAAGCCGGCACAAAATGTGGTGACTAATCCTTTTAAATGTGGCAGGGGGTCTTTAAGGTATGAACCAGTCCGTACATAGGTTAGTGGGTATGGAATGTGACAGACCACAACTTTCATATAACTGAATGTGTGTGAATGGAAGCAGCGGATGCAGGGGTTAACTATTTAATGACAAGGACAGTGATTGACACGGGTAATAAATTGATAGTTTATCTCCTGACCCTCTTATCTCTGGAACAAATACAGCAGGTGGGGTCAGGTTGGGTTGATATAATGACGGAAACACTTTGTGCGGTCCAACATCAGTGGCTTTGTCTTGTTTTCTTATAAATCAATAATTGTTGGGGAGTTTAGTTAATCATATGTTTAAGGCAAAGGCGTAAAAATGAGCAGAGTAGACACTGAAACAAATCTGTCTTCTCACTTAATCACTGACATTAGTTGTAGTTTCAGTTTTCTGTCACCTTTTCTTTGACAGGAATTCACAGCAAGCTGTACTGTCTTTGGCTTTATTTTTGATAGGAGGAAAGAAAAAAAAATCAACAAACAAACACGGAACCTCTTTTTTTCTGTCACCTTCACTGTGAGCGAGAAAATGTTTGCTCTGCCGAGTTACAGAGCCAATACCCCTGTCCTCGTCCGTAATTGACTGCAAACAGGAACGTAGTGACGTTTAAACACTGCCCTCCTCTCTCTTCTGTGTCACACACACACACACACACACACACACACACACACACACACACACACACACACACACACACATCTTCCACACAGTCCCCAACCCGGCACCCCTCAACTTCAGGTTCCCCTTCTGCCGTGTGTTTTTTCATGTGACATTCTATTCACTTGGGTCAGTAGCAGGCAGCACCAGCAATAATTACTGTCTGTACATGATAAATCTGAAGCCCAGCTGTTCATTTCTGTCACTGCCAACAGAGACAGAAAGCGAGGGAGAAAGATAGAGAAGAGAAAGGAGAGAGGGGGAGAGAGGGGACGAGCCCAGGAGTTTGCAGTTTGCCGGATTTCTTTCTTCCTTTTTTTTTTTTTTTTTTTACTTGG